AGTTATAATAAATATAACAATGATTACAATAAATATAACAACAGTTATAATAAATATAACATCAGTTATAAATAATAACAACAGTTATAATAAATATAACAACATTTATAATAAATAACAACAGTTATAATAAATATAACAATGATTATAATAAATATAACAACAGCTATTATAAATATAACAACAGTTACAATAAATAAGAACAGTTATAATAAACATAACAACAGTTATAATAAATATAACACCAATTTTAATAAATAACAACAGTTATAATAAATAACAACAATTATAATAAATATAATGTCAGTTATGATACAAAGTAAATAACAACAGTTATAATAAATACAACAACGATTGTAATAAATATAACAACAGTTATAATAAATATAACAATGATTGTAATAATAATAACAACAGTTATGATAAATATAACAACAGTTATAATAAATAACAACAGGTATAATAAATAACAACTGTTATAATTAATAATAAGTTATAATAAATAACAACAGTTATAATAAATATAACAACGATTGTAATAAATATAACAACAGTTATAATAAATATAACAGTTATAATAAATAACAACAGTTATAATAAATAAGTTATAATAAATAACAATGATAAATATTATTATAACAATAATAAATAAGTTATAATAAATAACAACAATTGTAATAAATATAACAACAGTTATAATAAATATAACAACAGTTATAATAAATAACAACAGTTATAATAAATAACAACAGTTATAATAAATATAACAATGATTGTAATAAATATAACAACAGTTATAATAAATAACAACAGTTATAATAAATAACAACAGTTATAATTAATAATAACAGTTATAATAAAGAACAACAGTTATAATAAATATAACAACGATTGTAATAAATATAACAACAGTTATATTAAATATAACAGTTATAATAAATAACAACAGTTATAATAAATATAACAACGATTGTAATAAATATAACAACAGTTATAATAAATAACAACAGTTATAATAAATAACAACAGTTATAATAAATATGACAACAGTTATAATAAGTAACAACAGTTATAATAAATATAACAATGATTGTAATAAATATAACAACAGTTATAATAAATATAACAACAGTTTTAATAAATAACAACAGTTATAATAAATATAACAATGATTGTAATAAATATAACAACAGTTATAATAAATAACAACAGTTATAATAAATAACAACAGTTATAATTAATAATAACAGTTATAATAAGTAACAACAGTTATAATAAATATAACAAGGATTGTAATAAATATAACAACAGTTATAATAAATATAACAGTTATAATAAATATAACAGTTATAATAAATAACAACAGTTATTATAAATGTCAGAGAGCAGAGTGTTTTTGTGCTGCACACACTTTTTCAGCTTGTGGGAGCAAAACTAATAAATTCCAGGCTCCAAAGAGACGTTGGTGTCTTCAGCAGTTTGGACTAACTGTTATGCAGATGCTACATGCATGATGAGGGTTGCCAGATAAATGTAAATTGTTTTATTTACACCCTCCTTTTCTGTGCATATGTTCAACAAACACAACACACACCTCATCTTGGAATATCTTTACTCAGCACATCTGACAGCTTAGCTTAAAATATTATTATTTTAAAACCACAGTACTATAAGTCATCATTTCTTATATGGCAACCAGACTGACATGGAAACTACAGCGTTTTCATGTAAACCCACTCATTTTTTGTTTATTACCCAATAAATATTGAAAAAACACTAAAGTTTCCAGAGGTTGTTCTGTGTAAAATGATTCTCTGAAACAAACGAGTCCCTCCAACATTTAATTCATGTTTCAAATTAATATTTACAGCTTTCATGTCTTAAATTAATATTTACAGCTT